CACACGCTAGCAGGGGGACTGCAGCACCGGGACACACACTAGCAGGGGGACTGCAGCACCGGGGCACAAGGCTAGCGCGGGGGCAGGGACTGCGGTAGCGGGGCACACAGCTAGCAGGAGGCACTGTGGCAGTTAGGAGACATGTTCCTACATTTCTCAGCCTAGGGCTCCCCTTTTTCAGCTCCCCTTACAAGGTGCCAAAAGTCAGCCTTTAGCAAACCCACTTGCTTTGCTATGTGAATCGACCTCGGTGGGGAGCTCCGGGTTGCCCCAGTCATAGAGGCGCGGCCCGAGTGTCCTGCTGACCACTAGCAGGTGGCTCTGTGCCTCGCACACAAGTGTGTGGACATCCTACACGCACACGGCGCGCCCACTACCAGAGCGCGCCCAGCCAAGGTGGCAACGTGCTGTCACAGTGGGGGACCCCGAGCCTGAGGGAGTATGAGGGGCCTACAGGGGGTCTGCAAGGCGGTGAGAGGAGGCAGCTGCAGGACACGGCGGCAGGGACTCACAGGTGGAGACTCAGCAAGGCTCAGGGCCGATGCCGGGGCACAGCTAGCGCGCGTGTGGCTCGGGGCTGGTCTCCCTGATCTGCCGGAGGCCGACCTTTATCGGTGACCCTGCGTTTATTACACACAGGCCCCACATCCCCAACCTGAGAGAGAAAGCCAGAAGGGCCCAAAATCCACAATGTTTTGAGCACCACGTGGCCGTGAAGGCAGAAAACTCCACAGTGACCTCAGGGTTCAGGGCTCGGGCAAAACCAGGAGCGCTAACAATAATGTATAAAATTACCTTGAGGCTATGTATATAAGGTATATATCTAAGGAAACAGAAGAGAATTTCATGTTTAGACTAAGTCCCACCCCCCCATTTATCTCATGTATGTGCAAATATTTGAAAACTGAAAAACATCTGAACCCCAAACACTTAAGTCTCAACATTTCCAATAAGCAATACTCACCCTGCACGAGCTGACAACCCAGGAAAGCTGCCTAGGATTTTAGTCTGTCTGTCTGTCTGCCTCTCCCTCTCTTTTTCTCTCTTCACTTCCCTCCTTCTTTCTCAGGGTCTTACTATACAGTACAGCCTGTCCTTTAACTTGTTAGGCTGACCTCAAACTCAGGGAGATCTTTCTGTCTCAGCCTCCAAGTCCTGGGAATACAGGTGTGCGCCACACCTGGGTAAGATTTTAGTTGTCACAAATGTAAAATGGATGTTTAACGTTAATAAATAATGTTATAATAAAAAAAAAAACAAATGTAAAATGGGAATAAAAAAGTTTGGCGTGGTGGATTTAAGGTCAGTCTGGGCAGCTTAGATTCCCATCAAAAAAAGAAAAAAAAAAGAGAGAGAGAGAGAAAGAATGGACAGACAGACAAAAGAAAGGCTATGAGTGTCCCCCACTGGTACAGTACTACTGTGTTTGATCCCCAGTACTGCAAAAAAGAAGAGAAAATGTGCATGTGCGGGTGGGGTGGGGCGGGGGGTGGGGTACCCCCTGTGCTGGGGGCTGCTGCGTAACAGCAGCCGGTCTCAGGGCTGCCCTTGCACCCATTAGCAGCAGCTGTCCTGTCACTTGCCCTCAGGACCAAACCTTCATCTGGCCCAGGACAGGACCTCAGATCAGCCCAGGCCACCCCAGTCTGCTCCCTGGCAAAGGGCCCTGGGGGGCACAGAGGGAGCCTCAAGCACGGCCCCAAGAGGTGGTGAGGGGTGTAGGCGGGCCCAAGGCACATTACCCGTCCTGCGCTGCCCAGGCTGTCCTCGTCCGACTCCGACCTGTGCCTGCCGTTGGAGTGGCCCTGGGTGGAAGCAGACAGGGGTCTAAGGAGGGGCCTCCGCGGGGGTCCCAGCACCACACAGCCGACCCTTGCAGAGCCATCCTGGGTGTCCACCCTCCCCAGCAAAGCTGGGACCTCCTCCGCCAGGGTGAGTGCTGGGGCAGGCAGGCCACGCTGCGCAGACTCGGCCCTCCCTTTGCTTTCATGGCCAAAGGCAGCGGAACCAGTTCAAGACGGGGCTCTGCACAGCCTCCTGGGCCACAGCCCCTGCGGCCTCCTGCTGTTCAGTCACAGGCAGGACCAGGGCCTCCCAGGGACTTCACTGGACGCTGCACAGTGAAGGCCCTGAACGGCTGACACTGGAGGCCACCTTCTCCTGAAAGCTGCTGAGCCTAGAGTGGCCCTGCCAACCTAAGGCTCAGCCTCCCCTCTCGTCAGCAACAGAGGCTGCAGCTCACCCTGAGATCTGCCCACCGAGTGCAGCCTTGTGCCAGCCTGCCACACCTCTCCGCTTCCTGATGCACCTGCCTCCCCACGTGCATCAGAAAAAACTCGTTAGTTAACCCCTCATAACCGCCTGTTAGCCTCTTTTTTTCTGAGGGAGGGTCTCACTATGATTCAGCCTGGTCTTGCATTGTGGTGATCCTCCTGCCTCAGCCTCCAGAGTCCTGGGATTACAGGCGTGCGCCACCACACCCGGCTCCCTTCTAACTCTATCCTCCTGGGGGACACCTGGGGCAACAGGAACTCTGACCTCACAGCCCGCTATAGAGAGCTTACATTTTCGTGGGGCTCCGGGTCATCCAGCTCACCCCTCCTCTCACTGGGGAATCCGCTGTCCCCACTGGGCTCAGAGTCCTGTAGAAAGAAGATGATCTCAGGGTCTGGAGTGCTCTGAGCACCATGTGGTGACCTGTGGATGTCCCAGCCATCTGCCTACTCTCCTGTCTTGCCTCACTTGTCACCCTCCGCCTACCCTTTGCTGGTCGGGAGACAGAGGTGTGTGACAGTGCAGAGAGCCTGGGCTTCAGCTCCACAGGGGTTACTTGCTGCCAGACCTGGCCATGGTGTGACCTCTCTCATGGTGTGACCTCTCTCATGGTGTGACCTCTCTGAGCTTCAGTTTTCTGAGCCGTGGGGTCCAGTTTTAGTGGCCCCATTACACCCCAGCGAGAATGGAAGCAGGCGTCACACTGAGAACACAGTTACGTGAGCCCGCCCCCTTCACAGGCGGCAAAGGGAGGGCGGTTTAGGGGCTGCGACACTCCCCACAACAAATACAGCACCAGGTTGTGTTCACTAGAGCGAAGCCGTCTACAACACTGCACACACCTCCTGAATGTATTTTTTATCTCCCAGATAGGAGTTCTACTCTGAAAGGAAATCAGGCATCATTTACAGTCTTTAAAGCTTCTCCTCACTAGGACTTCTGCCTGAGTCTGCAGGCACTGGCACCATTGTATCACCTGATACATTTACGTTCTCCAATTTTTCTTTGACTAGGTAATAGTTCAACAAATAGAAAGCAAGAATGCTAAAATAAACTCCCATGTAGCTACCACCCAACTTGGTCAACTCTGAGTTTTAGCTTTTTATAGGAGTTAAAACATCACAGTTGACTAGGAGGCTGAGGCAGGAGGATCACAAGCTCGAGTCTAGATGGTGAGTGGCTCGGCAAGACCTGCCTCAAAATGATAAACAGTGAACCTGAGGTTCTGACCCAACTGTGGGTAAGCAGAAAGGGCACGCAGCACCGCCAGCGTGACGCTTCTGCTATGTCTCTTCATTTGCTCACTTCAATTCAATGTCACGGAATTCACCTGGGGGAACGTGAACGCCGCGCCTTTAGCTTCTCAGCTCTGGGTCAGACTTCACTGCAGGAAAGTCCCACTTATGCAGCTGGAGCACACGAGCGCTGCGTCTCACTCCTGAGACCGCACGCGGGGTCCAGGACTGTACTGACCTATGTGTGTGGCCACCAAGCCAGGGCTGAGCCTGGCACTTGTGTCTCCCCTGCCAGCTTCCCTGCCATCTCCAGGGACTGCCGTGGGCTCTTCCTGGAGGAAAGCGCGGTGCCCTCCTGCTGCCCTGGCCCCCTGCCCTCCTGGCACCTGGAGGACACCTGGGCCGGGCAGCCCACCCGACCGCAGCTGGCCTCAGCGCCCATAGGGCGCCCGCTCTCCCACCCTGCCAGGGCTGGGGCCCAAAGCCTGCCCCTCTCACCCGGTGGTTGTCCAGACAGTCGTCTCTGGGCACCGAGCTATCCAGGTCACCAAACACCGGCCAATCTGGACAGAGACAGAGACCGAGAGCTGACTTCCCTGCTGAACAGTCGCAGGGCTGCGCTAGTCACCAAGCTTTCATTTTTAATTTTTAAAGAAAGGCACAATGTTTAGGGCCTCATTAGGTCTTAAGTTTGACTCCCAGTACCAGAAAGAAAGAAAGAAAGAAAGAAAGAAAGAAAGACAGACAGACAGACAGACAGACCGACCGACCGACCGACCGACCGACCGACCCCAAAAAACACAAACAAGAACCACAAGAAAGGCACAAAGCGGGAAGGAATGCTGCCTGGCCTGGGGCTGCTGCTCTGTGAGCACTTGCCTAGTACTGCCACCTGCCAGCGAAGGCTCCTGAGCGGTGGCTTCACCTTGTGCCCCGAGTGTCATAATTAATTAAATGGGTCTGGGAAGTGCAGCTGGGATCCCCGCACTCGGGAGGCCGAGGCAGGAGGATGGCCATGGGTGGGAGGCCAGCCTGGGCTACACTGCGAGACCCCACGTCTCGCAACAGAAACAAGACAGTACAGCTATGACGGAGGGAGTCACTCGCGCCCTTGGGCCCAGCGGGCACCTCCATGGCTCCCTCTCTGCAAACCCTCCAGTTCTGCCTCCTGCCCTAAGCTCTCCACAGCCATATCCATGGGGCTGCCTATTTCCACAAAGTTGGCATGGTGGACTGACAGCTGATGGGCAACCTGTTACGCCCTGAATCAGGCCCTACCTGAGGGTTGCTGCAAACCAGGTAAGGAGGAGAACCGAGAGGAAGAGGCCGTGCCCACAGCCCTCCCAGAGAAGCTTGCCACGCTGGTCTTCCTATTGCTCTGCTGTTCTCATCTTCGGGAGCTAGACCTCGCTGTCGTTGAGGACCGCTAGGGCTCGCTTCGAGGGACCTCTGGTCCTTCCCTTGAGCACCGCTTCCCGGCTCCAGTGCAGATCCTTCATCCCGCTGGCACAGAATTTCTAGCCTCCACCACCGACCTCTGGGCCTTCCCAGCACACAGTCATGAAACAGACTTGCATGAGACACGTCGTGGGCTCTAGGCCTCCAAGAGGGACTTGTGGGAGGCACTGCTATGGGCTCTAGGTCTTCAGCTGGACTCACGCAGGACACTACTATTAGGATTCAGGCTCTCACTGGATTCTCTCTTTCTCTTCCTCTCTCTCATCTTTTTCAGACAAGGTTTCACTATTGCAGTTCAGGATGGCTTTGAACTCACTTTTGTAGCCCAGGTGGGCCTTGAACACATAGCAATCTTCCCGCCTCAGCCTCTGAAGTGCTGGGATTACAGGCATGCACTACCAAGTCCGGTTCGGTTTCCGTGGCCGACTCGGGGCCAGCATGCAGGGCTGGGGACTGACCCTGGCTCCTTGCACTTGCCAGGCAGGTGCTTAGACTGCTGAGCTATCTCCCCAGCCCCCTGATTTATATTTTTAATAACTGACAGAGACACTGCCAGGGATGGTGGCACATGCCTGTAACTCGGGCGCAATTTTTTTTTTTTGGTTGGTGCTCTGTCAATTTTATGAATAAAAGTTAGCATCTGAGGAAGCACCATGAAAAATGTTACCTTGCTTTCTATAATAGAGGTTGTTTTCATAACATTTGATGACCTATATCTCCAAAGTTCATTCCAACAACTCACCCCAAAGCCACCACGGCTGTGAGTCTTTCTGGTTAGCACCTCTATTTTCCAACATGAATGAAGACCAGTTTTTCCCACCTCTACCTGATGACCAGGGCCAAACCATCACTCACGGAGCTGGTCTAGTCTGTGACTCTGTGGGGTGGCCGAAGAGGGGGAGGAAGAGAGAGAGTCGAAGGTCACATCACTCGTGTTCTCATCCCCGGAGTTCTCTGAAAGGCGAAGGAGCAGCGGGGGCCGGCTGGCAGACAGGGTCCTGACTCGAGGACTCCCACACTTCTCCTCTGTGCCCCTCAACATGGTCTTGGCCGACTGCTGGGGACAGTAACAGGATGTCCATGTCACTCTGGCCTTCTCTGGGAGTTGAAAGGCCCTTTCTGAAGCCCTTTCAGCCATGGGTTCTATACATGCCTAACAGAAAATCACCCCAAAAGTCAGTGCAAGATTAACCCTCCAGGATCTGAGAAAGGGTGCACGGCCGAGCGCGCCAAGGTCCCAGGCACAGCACGCTGGCCCTGCTTGCAGCCTTGGGCTGGCGGACACCCCCCGCACACAGCTGGAATCCCGAGCCAGCCTTCACCAGAGCTGCCCGCAGCTGGGCCACGGAGTAGGGGTTGGCTGGCCTCACCCTGCAACAGCAAGATGCCTGCAAACCGGGCCTAAAGCAAGTGCACTCATTTACCAGCGCAGCCCAGTCTTGCCCACAGGCCTCTCACTTCTCCACCTGCTTGTCCTCTGCCCCTGGCCACAGACAGGCCCAACTCGAGCAGACGCCAGGGTCTGTGACAAGGACCAAGTGGGAGTGCTCAGGGTGAGGCACAACGGGACAGATCTTTCCCGTCCTGCTATTTCTCAATTAAGCATTCCTGGGCCACGAGGAGGCAGGACTTGCCGTCCGGGTGGCAAAGGGACCAGCAGACATAGGCGGGCTTCACTGGACACCCACCAGCAGCTTGGTGTTCTGATTCACCGTGTCCTGCTCCTGTGGTGAGAGGTCAAAAGGAGCCAGGCCCATGCTCCTGCAAATCTGGTTGCAGGCGTGGGAGTGGAAGAAGAGGGCCATGCCCCGGACACCTGCGGACAGGACAGGGCGCCTCAGCAAGAGCGGGGCAGGCGGAAAGCACGCTGAGCGGGAAGGGGCCGGACGCCCAGGTACCCAGCCCGACGCACCTGGGAAGGCCCACGCGCGCTCCTGCCGACCCCTGGCGCACCAAGAACACGCGGGTTTCAGTGGGAGTGTGGGCTCTGTGAAAACCGGCTGGCTCCCCTTACCTAGGTTGCCATCCCCGAAGTCTGTGCCCGTCTCAGTGTGAATCTGCGGGTCAGTGTAGAGGTCACCCACACCTTGAATGTCTACCACGATCAGCTGATGGCCAGAACGTTCAAATGTGAAGTGGCTGAAGGCCTGGGAGGGGGAAACACACACAATGGAAGCCAGGTGACTGCGAGACCAGGCTGCGGGCTGTACAGGCAGCGGCCAGTCGCAAACTGGGGCTCACAACAGCGCGGCCTGCTCGTGCGTGCCGGGCCTTGCTCAGCTCTGCAGGGGCACAGGTCTGGTGGCCACCCAGGTACGCTGAGAAGCTGGCACTCAGTGGCAGTGCCCTGACAGAGAATTTCCTTCAGGGTGCTCCAGGGGCACAAAGGGCCTCTGGGAAGGGAGGCCTCATACCCACGGGACGCTCCTGTGCAGGGGCCGGACCTAGCCAGGCTGCACCTCGAAGAACTGGGCCAGACAGAGGCTACAGGTCCAGGAAGCACAGGGCCTACCTGTGGTGTCAGGCGGATGTTGTCGTCGCGGACAAAGCCCGAGTTTGAGTTGTACTTGATGTACTTGCCCTCGATGTAGTGCTCCAGGTGGAAGAGGGGCTTGCCTGGCCTCTCTGTCAGCTCAATGATGCACATCTGCATGATGTCCACCTGGCAGGAAGTCGCGTGGGGAGTCACGTGGTCAGGGACCGGGGAGACAGGCCCTCTTCTGTTTGGGTTCAGATCCTGGATGTGCCGCTTACTAGCTCTCTGGGGCAGAAGCTGCTGGTTGAACTCAGAGCCCATTCTCCCTGTTTACTTTTAGAATGAAAACTCTGATCTCTGAACTTCAAAAGGATGCACAAGGGCTGGGGAGATAGCTTGGCAATCTAAGTGCCTGCCTGGCAAGTATCAAGGACCCGGATTCGATCTCTAGTCCTGCATGTTGTGTGGGCCCCACGCCGTGCCAGCCACATCTACTGGATGAGGTGACTCACGCCTGTAATCCCAGCATGGGGGAGGCTGAGACAGGAGGCTCACTATGAGTCTGAGGTGTGTAGTGAGACCCTGTACCAAATCAATCAATCAATCAATCTAAAAAAAAAAAAAAAAAAAAAAAGGATGCATAAAGAACACGTTGCTTGGCCTCCCTTGAAGCTAGGTCAAGTCCTATGACTACGTCTAGCCAATGAGAAGCAAGCAGCTGCAAGTCTGTAACTGCAGCTTCCCTGTAGACTCTGCCTGTGACCCAGAACCGACCTCCAGATTCTCAGGAACTGGGGGTGGCAGGGAACACGACAGAGGGAAGCAGGCCTCTGGATGACTTCCAAGACGTGAGGTGCTAGGTCACCTAGAGCCGACCCTCAGGGCAGGACTGCGCATGTGAACTGCGTGATACACGTTTGTAAGTCTGCCCTCGCAACTCAGCCTGGGTCTTGCAGTCACACTGTGAACTGGGCGAGGCAGTTCACCTCTCTGTGATCCTCACCTGTACAGAGCAGACTTCAGATTTAGCGCAAAGATTGTATCTGTGGCTGCAGGCACCCACAGTGGAGTGCTGGTGGCTGGGACATTACTATTCTCAGCAGACAGCATTCTTTTCGTACACAGGAGAAAGCAGTATTATGCCTTGTGAAGTGGGTGGGAAGGACCTACGACTCAGAGCTGCTGCCTTGTTACCTGAGACTCGCTCCTACACCTGGCCACCCTCAACACCACACACAGCGAGAGTCACAGAGCAGGGGCTCCCAGGAAAACATCCTTCCAGGAAAGCTGAGTTGCTACCCAAGTGGACAACAGCTGCAGAAGCAAAAGCGCCCAGAGCTGAGGCCAAGAGCTTCCTCAGGGAAAGCCCAGGTCAAAGAACCGGGCTGTGGGCAGGAGTGAAGGTTAGTTCTCAGAAGTTCCCACGTTCAGCACTGGCTCTGTCCCCGCAAGGAAGCCTGTGACAGGGCGGCATGCTTGGCTGGCAGCTCACTGGTGAGAGGTGTGGCACAGGCCGAGTGAACAGTTAGCCTCACACAAGCCACCATCCTCATCTCCCGCCCCTAATTCAACCGCACTGATTCACTGGACACCTAGGTGCCCAGGGACAGCAGGGAGGGTCTCCTGGGTCCCTTCCCCCACCAAAGTGTACTTAATCGGGGGCCTTGCTAACAGCTGGCGCTGGCTGCTCAGAGAGGGGCTGTCCCACGGCACCCAGAATCAGTGCCTTGAATCTAGTGGGTGCTCAAGCAACGGGATGGCTGAGCTGTGAACCACGACAGGCAGAGGCGGAGCAGCCATCTCACGTGCCCACAGGCTGCAGGAACCATGCTTGGCCCCAGGCACAGCACTCCTGGGGCCCAAGCAAAGAAGGCGGCCTGGCAGAAGGCGGGCAGGCCTGGATCTGAGCCCCGGCTCCATCCCTGCCTGGCTGGGCAAGTCATTTAACCTTGCTGGGCCCCATGTTCTCCAGGGACCAACATGGCTTCCACACCCCCTCTCCTGCTCGCTCTTGTTCTGGGGACCCCGTGCCCAGTGTTAGTTCATGGGGTCTGGGTGAAATGCTCTGAGTGCCTGGCTCTCAGGGTGAGCACCAGGCTCAGACCCGCCCAGTCTGCACAGCCCTCTACCCTGGTCACCGCGACTGGCTTAGGCATAAGCATCTGTCCTGGTGAGAACAGATGAAATTTAGGAACTTCTGGGAAAACAGGTGTGTCACTCCAACAAGACTGCTGAGAAGACAGAAGGCCAGACTGCAGCTGTGAGGGACACCCCACACTGCAAGCACCCCTGCAAGATAAGACTGCCCGAAAGCTGTCAACGCAGGACACCCAGGCCAAGGACAGAGAAGACTCCCAGCTGCCTCAGTGTGGTCCTGGCGCAGCTGTGCCTGTCGTCGCTACAGCTGCCAGGTGCATAGAGCCTGGAGAGAACTCCCTTTCGGGGCTAAGTCTAAGTGGGTTGTAAGTATCTGCAAAGCTTCTGACTGACCGACAGACTCCGTCTGTAATAGGAATGAAAGGCTTCTCGCTCCAGAACTCTGCTTTCAGGAGCAAACGCCCTCACAGCGAGCGCTGCTTAGGAAGCAGGTATCTCGTACTAACACTGAGGGGCAGAGAGAGTACTCGCAGCACCCCGCCCCTCCCCACAACACTGTCCCTGGTTGCTCCAGGTGGAAGGAGGCAGCTGGGGGCACCGCACACCTGCTTGGGGGGCTTGTGCCGGTTGTATTCCTCCCCCCAGAGCTTGGCCTCCATCTGCAGACGCACGTCCTCGAAGTACACGTCCCTGTCCACCGTCTCGATGTAGCGCTTTGCCACGTAGTTGGAGGCCCCCTTCCACTGCTGGGCATGCAGGAAGTTGGAGAGCTTCTTCCTGGGGGGAAGCCGGGGAGGGCATGGTAGACACTGGGGTTCCCGGGGATGCAGCGCTGTCTTCAGGACAGCAAGGTGAAGACAGCAAGGCCCACCTGACCCGGCTGGAGGCGGAATAAAATGCAGATGGAGGAGGGCGTCCCCACCCTCTGGGCCCTTGCAGAGCTGGACTGGGGCTCCTGTCACCTAAAGACCTCCAGCCCGTTCCCTTGGCCCCCAAACTTGAGAGGAGACTAGCAAGCACCCTGTTTTTCCAGGGTCCATCCCCACAGCCGGCCCACTGTGTGGTCCCTGATGGACAGGAACCTGAGCTACAACGAGGCAGAAGCCGTCTCCAGCCCTGGGCTGACCACGTCCCTGTGGCCCAGACCTCTGCGCCTGGTGTGGTTACTTACGCCCGGAAGCACTCCCTCATGGCTCCGCGGCCAAAGGGCTGAAAGACACCATGGGAAACAGGAGACATCAGCCCCGGCCCAGCCAGCAGCAGCCCTAAGACTTCTCGCCACAGCATCGCAGCCCCTGTGCCTGCCCCTCCTGCTCCCGGCCCCAAAGCCGGACAGGCCTTGAGCCGAGCGCCGCCCCAGCGGGCAGGACGCTGGCGGAGGGGCTCCACATGTCAAGAATGTGAGAGAAAGCCAGAGCCGCGGTCCCAGGTACACAGGATGCCGAGGCAGGAGGCTTGCTTGGGACATGGGTAAGAGCAACAGAGTGACACCTTGTAGCTATGGCTTGTTTCCCTCCTTCCTTCTTTACCCCCTTCCCCTCTTCCCACCATCTCTTTGTGTCTTTTTTGGTGTTGGGCATTGAACTCAGAGCCTCTACACTGAGCTATATTCCCAACTTTTTTTTTTTTTTTTTTTTTTTTGCGGAACTGAGGATTGAACTCAGGCCCTTGTGTTTGCCAGGGAAGTGCTTATTCCACTGAGCCATCTCCCCAGCCCTCAAAATTCAGATCCTTTATTTATTTATTATAATTTTTTTCTGGAACTGGGGATTGAACTCAGGACTCCGCACTTGCCAGGCAAGTGCTTATTTTACTAAGCTATTTCCCCGGCCTATTCCCAACTGTTAAAAAAAAAAAATTTAAGATAGGGTCATATATAGTGCAAGGTGGCCTCCACTCCTGGCGATTCTCCTGCCTCAGCCTCCTGAGTGCTGAGGTTACAGGAATATACTACCACGCCTAGCATGAATTTAACTCTTTTCACTATTCTGGCCGCAAGCCAAATGGACAAGAACCAAATCAAATTTGGTGGTTAGGTTCACTATTGACCTGACAGTGAAATTTGTTTCCATTCTCGTCCAATTTGGCTTGCGAAATCATGAAAAGAATCAAGTCCACGAAGCAAGGAACCACTGTATATGAACCTCCACAACACTAGTATAAAAGATACAATACATAAGCTATAGTACGAAGAAACCCCAAAGTTAAACATAAAGCAGGCGAGGAGAGGGCACAGGGCTGAAGCCTGCGCGATGGGGCGGGGCCTGCTCACCTGAGACGCCATCTTGATCAGAACCTCATCCTCCTGCCACTGCCCGGTGACAGCGTTGTACCTGCAGAGACCGTAACGTGGCCTCACCCCCACCGGCCAACGGTGAAGGACCCTGGGCCTCTGGAGTGGGCCACGCTGGACCCCGACCTGGGCCTCCAGGGTAGGCTGCGACAGACAGAAACGCTCCCTTCCCAGGCCACTCCCTGGCCACACTGGTCTCCTTCCCTGCCTCAGTCACACTGCCGTTCCCCATTCTGTCCCCTCCCCCACGTGGACTTCTGCCCTGTTTTCTTTCTTGCTCTGCATGTGGCTCCTGCGGCTCTCTGTTAGTGGCTCCACAAAGAAGACGCTGGCTCTCTTGTGCGCCACAGGGCTTGGCGTGTGAAGGCACACACACCCTGGCTCAGTGGCTCAGCACCCAAGTGTCCTTACTAGAACTGGGGTGTGAACAAACAGCACACCCAGCTAGGAAGTGGCAGACCTACGTCCCAAGAGGTCGGCCTCTCCCTGTGCAGGTAGAGGCAGGGGTAGACCCAGCCTCTGAGTCCAACCAGGAAAGGGTCTGCTGGGTACACACCTAAGGCAGAGAGAAAGGGAACAGGTTCTAGAAAGAGCCAGAGAATGTTCTGGAACATTTCCAGCTCATCGCTCAGGAACCCTCTTTCCCTGGCTGGTCCTCGACAGGGTTTGCCTGGAAGCTCCTCAGCTCTGTGGGTCACTAGCATCTAAAACCTCCCTGGGGCTGAGGTGTTCTCTGGCCAGAGGCTTCCGCTGGCCCCCTTTTCAGCTGGGGCGGACTCCAGAATACTCCCAGGGCCACAAGCAGGTTTCTCAGGGCCTGAAACCTCTGCGAGATGAAACATGCCAAGGGCTGGCAGGTAGCCTCCCTGCTCTGAGGAAAGAGCTTTTCACAGCTCCAAGCTCCCCTGCCATCAGCTAGGGCAGGCACTGAGGGCTACAAATGACAGCAGGACAGAGACGAAGGTTATGGAGACAACTGTCCTTCACCTCCCCCAAGAGGCTGGGGTGGGGGAAACACTGCCTCCCACAGCTGTTCACAAAGAGGCCCAAAGTTCCCTGCGTGCTCAGTACCTGCCCGCTGGATCACTTCGTTCAATCTCCCCAGCATCCCCGAGGTTGCTACAGGTATTACACCCATTTTCCCCGAGGGGAAACTGTCGCTCAGTATCCTGCTTGAGAGGATTCAACCGCAGTGTGGTTGAAAACTAGAAGCTTGCTCTCAACCGGCCTGGGTATAACCCAAAGGGCCCGGGAAATCTGTTGCCAATACTGTGGCAGGCCAAAACCACGGGCACAGAGAAGGAAGCCTCACTTGAGAAATCTTACATTTCAGCTATCAACTCCCAGGGCCTCTCAGGGTCATCTGCCAGGGCAGGGGGCAGCCAGCCACTTCAGAGAACAGGCAGCGTGGCCTGGCCGCAGACCCACGTGGGCTCCGCACCACGGATCCCAGCCCATGCTTTCTGCTCTCAGGCTGGTGGGCCCCACGGCCTTCCTGAGTGGCCCTGTGTCCTAGCCTGAAGGCTATGTGTCACCAGGCTGCAGCCAGGCATGCCCTTGTAGCTCAGCCTTTACCTGACCTAGCTGGGCCCCTCACAGCTGTGACCCCACCTGCTGGGCGCAGAGCAACGACCCTCCCCCAGAGGGAGCGCCTGGCCGTGCGCAGGCTCTGAAGCTTTTCCTCCTAGGGTGGGAATGGAAGCACACTGCAGAAAGGAGGAGGGGGCAGAATGCGCGGGGCAGCCCCTCTGTGCTAAGCAGGGGCGCGGAACTCTACGCTGTCACCAGCGAAGCGCATGCAAAGCCCACGCCACCCCTTGCACTAGGGACTGAAGAGCCCCGTGCCACCCTGATGCCGTCTTGCCCTCTGGCAGCAGTGCTGCAGTTCAGCGCTGAGATCAGGGATCTACGAGACGGAAGGCGCCTGGGTGGCCGGCTGCCCTGAAGAGCTGCTGAGCTTGCACCCAACTCCGCACACCAGTATCAGGTCCTGGGCCAGCGGCTGCTGGGACGTGGCTCTGCCTAAGCCGGCTGGTGTGCACCTTGCAGGACCACTCCTGGGACACACAGAGGTGACAGAGTGTGCAGGGCATGCGCAAACACTCAGGCACTGCGTGATGTGTTACAGGGTCCTTCCCTAAAAAGCTCGGGACCAGAAGAATTCCGGATTTCGGAAAGCGCGATTCGCCCAGTCTCTGCTAGCTGAGATCCCCTACTCGAATATCCAAAGCATTCTAAACTCCAAGTTAGGTTTTTGGATTGAGGATGCCTGCCTTGTATCACTCCCTACTCCCTTCTCTTGACCCAGAGCTACGTGGGCCCCGCCAGCTGAGCATAAGCAGGCCCCACACCCGGCCAGGCCCCTCGAAGCCCCGACAAGCCGCTGACCTGTGGCGAGTGGCGTGTTCTGTGGCAACGTCCTCAAGGTGGAACTCAGCCCAGGGGTCGGGCATGTGCTTGGCCTTCTCGATGGCATGCTTCCAGGTCTCCTGCAGGAGAGAGCACGAGACCCTGATGAGGAGCAACTGGCCTCCGCTTACCCTGCGGCTTAGCCCGAAGAAGCTAAATGAGAAGAGCTCCTGTCTACTAGCCTTTCAGGCACAGTCCCCAGAGACGCTCTGCTCCTGTGTGCACACCTTCTCGTGGGAAAAAGACGCACCCTAGTTACACACCGCTTCGCTTTTAGTTGGGGACAATGAAAACAACATGTGGAGCTTGGGGCGCCCGGCGCATTGCGCTCTCCCAGCCTGGAGATCGGGGCGCCTGGCGCATTGCGCTCTCCCAGCACGCACCAGGCCCCGAGTTCCATCCTTAGCCCAGCAACCAGAAGGGGCAGGAGGAGGGAAAACAGAAATGAAAGAAAGAGGACACCAGCTCATCCATCAGACCGGCAAACACTTACATGAACCTAAACAAGTTCGCCGCTGTGGGCCAGGACGTGGGGCAACAGAGAGGTCACACACAGGCAACAGCACAGACGGGTCCTACAAGGCCGTCTGGCAACGTGCTGAAACACTTTGGGAAGCAATCCCTAATGCTGACCCAGAAATTCTACACCTCGGACTCGAGTCCCCAGAAACAGGAGTATGCAAACATGTACGTACAAGTGTCTTATGTGGGGGTGCATACCTGTGACCCCAGAACTCAGGAGGCTGAGGCAGGAGGACTGCCCTGAGTGTGAGGCCAGCCTGGGCTATGTAAGGAAGTTCAAGGCCAGCCTGCACTACAGTGAGTTTATGGGTCAGCAACTTAAAAGCCACTTCGGATGTTAATGACACTCAGGAGCTGACCAGGATTGGATGGGGTCTGGACCTGCTGTGACATTCGCAGCTTTAGGGGAGGGAGGAAAGCAGCCCGGCCCCACACCTCCACGGCAGGAGGTCAGCGACAAGGTCTGCCCACATTGGGTGCCTGTTTTAGGCTCTGGGACTTGCCAGCCACAAGAGCCACGGGCCAGCTAAACTTTTCTTTCTTATAAATGACTTAACATTGGTTATTTTGATACACAACAGAAAACAGACCAAGCCTTAGTTAAATCCCATTTTGTTTTGGTTTTCTGGAACCAGGAATTGAACTCAGAGCCTCCCGCTTGCCAGGCTGACACTTGTACTGCTGAGCCCTCTGGGCTCAATCGAATACCAAAGCAAACCAAACAAAAACCAACAGAAATCCAAGCCCTTTAGGGCTTTTGTGATAGAAGGGTAGCATTCTTCCTGTCCCTTCAAAATCAACTCCCACATCCAGACAGACAGACAGACAGAAGGACAGACAGACAGACAGACACACACACACACACACACACACACACAGCCAGAGCTCCCTTGCTGGGCCTTTCTAATCTCTGTGAAGTGCACAGTCTTCTTTCAATAGAATTTGGGAGTTAATTTAGGCTTAATGTAAACACTTGGAAACCCAAGCCCACCCCACCCCACCCTGTGTCGTCCACCAGCGGAACCAGCGTCGGAGGCATTTCCCAGGGTCGCGATCACACAGTAACTATAACTTTCACCCTGGAGAGTGGTTCCACGGGATTCCATACTTTATTTAGGGATCCTGATTTATTTTTCTCACTCCAGAAAGATGTCATGCGCAGCATAAAAACTGCAAGCTCTACAGAATTCTGAATTAGAGCATGGAACCTCCCTCACGACCAGCTCGGGAAACTGCCTGGCAGAGTCACCCTGCCTGCTTCACCGCTGCCTGTAGCGCTAGTGCGGTGCTTGTTCCAGAGCCGCGAGGCTGCAGCTTTCGACTGTTCTGCGGCTCGCTTTCCCCACTTCCTGTGGGGTCCTGCCTGGCTTTCACGTATCCAGCCTGCCGGCTGAGGTCACTTCCTTCCCAGGGCTGTGGGATATGCAGTCACACACGTTCCCTAAGGTATTTGTCTTAACATCCAGTTGGTGGCCATGTGGATTCTCCCCAAGGTATGTAGGCACCAAGAGTGCTGAAGTGAATGTCCTGATACCTAATCTGCTCATCAGATCTCAGTGACTTAGCTATCTGGGTACCTGGGTCACACATCAGACCCAGGGCCCGGAGATGTAGCTTGCAGTGGTCCAGCAGGGCAAGGCCTTGGGTTCACTCCCTAGCTCTGCCAGAGAGAAAGGGAGGGAGGGAGGGATGATAGCAGGGAGACGGAAGGAGGGAGGGCGGGCGAGCCAAGCTAGACGGCTAGCAATTATCTAGTTCTCCTTCAGAAGAGTTTTTCTAAGGAATAAACAAGTCATCTAAACTTGTGTGTCTGCATGCGTGCTCGTTACCGGGAGTAGAACCCATGGTGCTGAGCCACGGGACACAGGCGCAGGCCCTTCTATTTTAAGGTTCTGCCAAGTGGCCAGGCAGGAAGGACTTCTACTTGCGATCTTACTGCCTCAGTCTCCGAAAGTGCCGGGATTACAGGTGTGCACATCACCTGCCGTGTTTTTTAACCCACACATCATATCACATAACTAAAACTCGGAGGCTAATCCGCAACCCATCTGGCAGGCAGAGTCCCTGCAAGAGGTCGTCACGATTACCTCAACTCTGCACCATCAGACTCTGAACTTACCAGGGCTTTTTCTGTTATGAGTGGCTTGGGCATGTTCACTTCTGTAATCGTTTTTGAATTTTGGTCCCTGCGCTTTAAAAACGTGCTGCAGTCACCCCTCTCTTGTTCCAGCTGGGCGGGGACAGCCTGACGCCTCCCGCCTGTCCGCCAGGGAAGCAGCAGGCAGCCCTGGACCTGAGCAGACTGCGCCGCCTGAGCTCTGTGGGGATGCACAGCTCGTGTGCCGCTCCCTGGGCCAGCAGCAGGGGCTGTCCCCGCTCGATGAGGATTATGACCAGGAATCCCCTCTCGGCCGCTCCCACGGCAGCAACCAAAAACAGTGACGGAAGAGAGGCCTGCATGATGACAGTGCGTGGCACTTCGCGGGGCCAACACCACCTTCTTCCAAACCCAGAAAAGATTCAAGTTACGCTCACAAGAAGCAGGCAAATAAGCTGGGTGAGGTGGCGCACGCTTGCAATCCCAGCACTCGGGAGGCTGAGGCAGGAGCATCCCAGTGAGCTCAAGGCCAGCCTGGGCTACACAGTGAGTCCAAGGCAGCCTGAACTGTGGAGTGGGACCCTGTTTCAACCTGCCCCCAGGCCAAAGCAGCAACAAGGGTAAGGTAGATGCAGGTTTCTCTGTACCTGTCTGTCTGTCTCTCTAGCAGTACAGGGGACTAACTAGGTCTTCACCCTGAGTTACAGTCCCAGTCTTTTCTTATTTTTTATTTTGAGACAGGGTCTTACGGAGTTACTAAGTTGCCTGGTGGAGCTCAAGGCCATGACCCTCCTGCCTCAGCCTCCCAGAGTGTGGGACTCCCAGGCGGCTGCCAGGCTGCCAGCGTGTGCAGCTGTTTTTAAGCACAATCCACCCGAGGACCATGAGTTCAAGGCCAGCCTGGGAAATTTAAGGAGAGAATCAAAAATAAAAAGGGCAGGGACATGACTCAGTAGAGCAAGCTTTTCCCTGGCAAGCGCAAGGTCCTGAGTTCAATCCCCGGTTCCGCCAAAAAAATCAAAGAATAAAATAAAAATAAATAAATAAATAGAGCTATGTCTCAGTGGTAGAGAGCTTGGGGTTGTGGGTTCAGCCCCCAGTACCACAAAGAGGAAAGGGAGCGAGCACAGAAAACGTCCCACACTGACACGGGGCCCCTGAAGGGCCCATCTGCCCTCACCAGCTCTGGAAACTCCATGTCCTGGTTGGTTTTCCTGTGAAGGATGTTTGGACACCAGCGCTCTGTCGTCTCTGTGGCCTCTGCTACTGGACTAACCATGCCCCCCCTAGAAAGCGGCTCCCTGAGGTAGTGGTGCTTCCGGGGTGACCCTGCCCAAGTTGCGGAATATTCAGGTACGGGGAAGCACCCCAGTGGTGGCCAGAAGTGGGCATCCCCAGACTCTTAGGGGGCGTGGGAGAGGTCTGCCACCTACAGACGAGCCAGTCCCAGCCCCTTGTCAGGTGAGCTGGCCACAGACCACACAGAGAGCCACTTAACACTCGCAGGGGAGGCAGAGGTAAGTCGAACAACAGTACAACACAGGGACATCATGGGCCAGGGAGAGAAACCCAAGGGTCAGTCTCACAGGTTCTCTAGAGACGTGCGTGCACAGAGACGCGCACACCTACGTGTGTGTAAATGTGTAAAAAGTGGCCCTAAAAGGATCTCATCCATTGCACACCACGGTTATCCAGAAACAGCTACGCGCTCCGCCACCGGGGCTCCCGCTGTTCTGTACAGCAGCGCGTTTGCAATGAGAATGTGTTCCGGCGCCACTGCACGAGGAAGGGTAAAATGGAAATCAGCAAGTTAGTTCTCCTGTTGTTGTTCTGGTGGCTATATGTGAGGGGCACACTGGGAACTGAACCCAGAAAACACTTTGCTGCATTGGCAAGGCCTTGTTCGTTTTTATTTTCAGACAGGTTCTTCTGAGTTGCCCGTTGGGACTCACACTCCAGATCCTCCTGCCTCAGCCTCCCAGGTGCGCACCGCTTCGTTAAGCCACTTCAACAATTCTTCAGGCTCCCGTGGCTCTAATATTCTCTACTTCTAAAGAGTCTAAAACTCAATTGCCAAGTGAGCTAATTCATCTTACCTACAACAGATGACAGAAGATTTTTTTCTTCTTCTTTTTTTCTGGCGGTACCAGGGATCGAACTTAGGACCCTGCACTTGCCAGGCAAGCACTTATTCTACTGAGCTATATGTGAGCTATCTCCCCAGCCCAGAAGATTTTTCATGGAAAAGAAAACACACACCTGGCTATAAACTATAAAGGCTTTGGTTCTTCAAAGCCTGAGAATACAGAACAAAATAAATAAAAATTTAATAACTGCAGTACTAATGTACTTCCCGGAAGAGGCGGTGAATGAGGCCACCCGAGGGGCTAACTCCTGCCACCACTTCCACCTCGCCATTCCCTCCCCGCCCCAGCTCCAGGGCCTGCAGGCTCAGCGAGC